AGGAGGAAGAAAGGGTGGGGAGAAAAGCGCCTCACGAGGAAACAGAAACAGGTCGAAACCGTGGTAGATAGGTGTGTTCCAGGTGCCAGGGTGTCTCCGGTTGTGTTGACATAAGCGTGGAAGCGTAAAGAGAAACAATTCGCTGAGAAGTGCAAAGTTCGTCGGTATTGCGGAGCGTGTTACGGTCATCACGCTGTGAAGTATTACAGCTGCGTTTTACTACCTGCGAGAGTGGGCCAAGATCGCTCTCCTTTTTCTTCCCTAAGTCAAGAAATTCGTCAGAGTTGTTTGTTTCACAGTTGCTTTGCAGACTTAATTTATTCAGTGGTTTTTAGTAACTTAGGAGCAAAGCTCTCACTAGCAGAGCTAATGCTTCCTTAGTGTAAAAGTTGGCACATCCAGACTACTTCACCAGTCTGTCTGCTGGAGCAGATAACTTTCTTTTTAACCAAACGCTAAACAGGCTAAAAGAGAGCGTCTAGGCTGTTTGTCTCTCTGACTGTGACGCTAGTTGCCGTGAAGTATCTTCACAGAATTGTTTTGTTAAATGTTGAACAACTAACCTGGGGGGGTGCTCAGCAGTAATGACGAAAGTAGTATTACTCATAGTGGACCTGGCAGCTTGTAGCTGTTTGAATCATGTGATGAGAACAGTAGCATAAGCATAGCTAGGCTAAAGGTAGTTTTCAAAACCAAAATCTTTGTATGTGGGCGTTTGTGTCTGTCTGTTTAAATACACACATGTGTTAGTGGGGATCCTTAGCATGTATTTTGTGACTTAATTCAAAGACTTGGCAGTCCGGTTTAAAAAACTTGATACCTTAACTGTGTAGTGTCTAAGACTTATAAGGAATGTGGAGGTTTTTGAATTCTTTTATTCTGAAAGTGACTATAAACCAGTTTTCATGTATATTTAAGTGCAGTTTCCAGAAATGGTTACAGGTAGCATAAACAGCTATTCTTCTCCAGGCAGCTGCGGTACAACTTTCTTTTTTTCCAGAAAATTAAAGCCTAATCAAACACCACAAGACTTCCATTTTTTAAGTGCTACTTTTACTAATAGCATACAAAATGTTTCCTACTCCAGATACTTTAAAGGATATGTGAGATGTGACTTCCCTTACACATAGAGCAGTTTTCAGACCCTGTCTGGAGGGATTATTGACTAGAAAGTATGATCAATTGCACATCTTTATTGTCTCCCTTTAAAAGGTTTTGTGATAGCAATACATGTTTTAATTCATCAGTCACATGCAATGTATTCATTCTTCAGTGCTGTTTAGCAAATGTAAAAGGAAAAAAAAAATCCCAGATTTCTAATATCCTTTTTTCTAGTTATGTTATTGTCCTGTTGCTCTGCAAAAGCAGTCATAGGATGACTAAGGCATGAAAAGTAATCCTGTGGATTTTGTTGCAGAAGCAGTTTGTGCTAATATGGTCTTGAAGCAGCCTGCCTTTATACCTGTGGTGATGCAACTTGAGAGATGATAGGAAGTGTTATGTTATTCATTATCTTGTCTTGGTTTTCAGTTCCATTTAAAAGAGAAGTTTAATTTCTGAGAGTAAAGATAGATAATAAGATTTGGCATACTTGGAGTCTGCAAATACAGTGACTGCAGCTTAGCAACTGGTTTCGCTACACTACAGAATTTTAAGCACGGAAAGAGAAAGTTTTTGAAGAATAATGCTACCTGAAAGAAGAAATAGTATACTGTATTGACAAAGTTCTGAACTCTGACAGATTTAAAACAAGGCAGTATAGTGAATTTACTTACAGTAACTTCTAGGTGGCAGAAATAGCAATGGGAGGTTGCGGGGGGTTTTTGTTTGTTTACTGAAAATATAAATAAAAACTTGAACCTCTAGAACATAGAGCTAGCTGGAGCCTGGAGTTTTTTCAGTCATTTGTCAGTATTATCTGCTTTTTTTAAAAATACTGAGTTTCAAAGCCTCAGGTGGAAAGCTGGCTTGCTGTTGAGCTTTTTGGGTGTGATTTTCTTTGGTATTATATACCCATTGTAAGTAGGTGCTTTGGCAGTTGTACTTTTAAAATACAAATGTTTTATTTGGTTAATAAGGGAATCTATCAGAGTACAGATAGTGGGTTTGTTGTTTGGTTGGTTTTAGCATTTTTTTTCTATAAGATATCTTTTCATGGGTATTACTGTGTCCACTAGTTGTTGTGCCATGCCACAGGATCAATGTCCTGGATTCATTAGTAGTAAGTATAGAATAAGTAGCACATAACAACAACTTAAAAATATAAGATAGCTACTGCAGGGATGAGCCTTCAGAAATTTTCTTTAGAAACTGTTTTTAGAAGTTCAGCTTTATGGACTACATAGAAGTCTCCAGTGCAAGGCATTTATTCTTGAAGTGTATGTTCTCTTTGACCAAAGAATGGGGATGGGAAAATAAATCACTTGTGTCTTTTAAACTGTTTGAACTACAACTTTAATACTCTGTTACTATGTTTCAATTAAATTGATTTATAAACAGTAAGATATAAAAGAAAGTTACCCCTCTACTTAAAAATAATTTCAGGTATATATATTTTATCTCTGGTATCTGGTTTACTGGCAGTATTTACTTTCTCACACTTCTTATACTCAGTTGGCTTTATTTTTTGATGTACATATCCATTACTGACCTAAACTAAACTAATTTAAGATAACAGCTTTTTACAAATACTGACTGCTGTCTTTTTTTGTCTTTGTCTTTTTTTTTTTCTTTCTTTCTTTCTAGGAGTATATTAAGGGACTCTGTGAACCTGAACTAGAAGAAAAGGAGTGCTACCCAAAGGACATGCACTGCATCTTTGTTGGTGCACAGAGCCTGTTTCTCAACAGTCTTATTCAGGATACCTGTGCTGATATAACAGTGCTGGAAATAGGATTGCTCAGCATTAAGGGGGGTGCAGAAGCTGTTGTTATGGCTCAAAGTCATGTTCAACAGTTTGTGAAGCTTTTTCAGAATAATGAAAGCTTATTAAGTGACAATGAGTCGGAGATTAAAAAGCAATTCAGACAATTTGTGGAAGCCCATGCAGATAAATACACAATGGATTTACTGATTTTGCCTAGCTCACTAAAAAGAGAACTCTTAGCTCTCACACAAAATGAATGTTGCGAAGAGGAGAGCGATATCATAGATCTTACAGGTTCTGAAAGCCCGACAGAGCTTTTACAGAACAAAGCCTCCAAAGTAATCGCTACAAACAGAGATGGAAGAGCAGGTGGTGAGGAAGCAAGAAACAATGCTGGGACACCTGTAACTGAGCTTACAAAGCAAATGGACACTGTGTTTTCTGATGCTCCTGAAACAAGTTTTGTTCCCATAAACGTTGTGCCTCTGTTAGAGGCAGTGGTGGCTAAAGAAAGGCAGTCATGTAAAAGAAGATCTTCTGATGGTGAGGAAAGGCTCCCTAAAAAGCAGTTCTCCTTAGAAAATTATCAGGAAGTTAAATCTGCTTCACACAGTAATCCTTCAGACAGGGATGCAGTTATTGGTCTGCTTTCGAATAGCTGCAGTGAATCAGATGATCCCAGTTATTGCCTTAAAGAAAGTGATGATATCAGTGAGGAAATGGAATATAAGATTCTTGTGAACTTTTTCAGAACAATGGGATATTCCCAAAATATTGTAGAAAAAGTTATTGGTATCCTAGGACAATCTGTGGAACCATTAATATTGCTAGAAGAAATTGAAAAGGAAAATTTAAAATTTCAAAAAGAACACAAACAGTCATCTCCAAAGCCTAGAACTATCAATCCTCCTTTAGGAAGTAATGCAAATAATTCACAAAAGCTAGAAGACGAAGGCATTTCTAGCAATAAAAGCCCACTTAAATCCAGTCAGACTTCAAAGGAGAGAAAAATTGAATATCACAAAATGAGAGATTCACCAAGCATGCAAGTTGATGCAGAAGATAAAATGCATATGTTGGTATGCAAACCTGCTTCTCCTTCCAGTAAAAATTCAGCTATATGGTATAAACAAAGAGACATATATTGCCCTGGTAAGAATCACAGTTCAAGGTCACACGATATAGAAACTGATGGTGGTGTAACGTTTGGCACTACACAAGCTGGAGCTCTAAAAGATGTTGATTTTGTAGCCAGAGGGAGCTCAGATGTGCAGCGTAAGACTAAAACTGCAGTTCAGCAAAAATGTGCAGGGCCCTCAACTGTACTGAATAGTCGTCCTGTTTTTGAGGACCAAGTAGGACACTGCAGCTCTTCTCAGATGAGATCTCTCAACCAATGCCTTTGCCAAACCTCAAATTCTGAAAATCCTATCCCAGACCAGGTATTGTCTTCACAAATACATCCTTCAAATCCTGATAGAGAGACAGTGGGACAGCACCGATGTCATCCTGATCCTTCAGTTACTGGAGTCCAAAGATTTTTGGAATCTCTGAAAAAGCCATACAGGCTGGAGTTGAAAAATGAACCTGGGAAACCATGTTTAAAACATATCATTATCGATGGAAGCAATGTTGCAATGTCGTAAGTATTGTTCTTTTCAGCTATCTCTCCATTGAAAGTTCAATGAACTTTCAAATTAAATAGGGGCTAAGAGGTTGCTGTGATGCTGTGGCATGTGTAAAGTTTTTGCTAGCTAGCTTTTTGGTGACCAGCAGTCCATCTACACAGCAAGGTTTTTCAGCTACTCGCAATGGCTGCATTGGTAAGTTACGATAAAGCTTGATAATGAAAAATTACATGAGATGGCTGTGTGTTGGAAATTAAAATGGCTATTTTGATAGTTTTTGTTCTCCATTTAGTGACAGCATTCACTTACGAACTTGTTTGGAGTTACTCTGTTGAGATTCTGTGCATAGAAGGATGTTCAGAAGTTTTTATCAGGTGCACTATATGACACTTAGTTCGGTACACAAATCCAGCTAGAGCTAGTGTGGTTGTGGGATATTCTATCATGAAACAATTCTTGCAGAATTTACTTCTGGTTTCAAAAAATTACATAGTGTGAAGCTGGACAAATGCAGTAACTGGTTAAAATAGAATTAAGAAAATCCTTGATATTGACTTAAAAATGGATTGGTAATTGCAATACTCTGGAAAATATTTTCTGTAAAGACTTCTAAGACTTAGCTTTCCTGCTCTGATAGAAATTTGCAAATTTGTAAAAACAGGTAGCTCAGATTTATGAAGCCCAAATACTAAAATAATCTGAAAAAAAACATGAATAGAACAGCCAATGGAAACTAAAACTAAATATATCTAAGAGGTAGATGACATCCTTTTGATAACAAGATGTTTCACAATGGAAAGTGAATTAATTCTACAGCATTGCCTACTAGGCAGTGGTCAAATTTGAAGTCTGATTTGTGCCATTTCAGAGCAACCTACTTTGAATTATTGGTGCTCCAGCTCAATATAACACTTTAGTTGGAAGTAATTTCAGTGAGCCCTGCTCTGTTGTAAGCAATTTTATGCGTGAAACTTAGTTTGCTTTGCATGTACTTAACAAAGAAGTTGAGTTACCATCAACTTAAGAGTAAAGTGGTTTTTGTTTGTGGTTTGGGTTTTTTTGGTTGTGTTTTGGGTTTTTTTTATAGCATATTTAACAACATTACACGTGGGTGTTCGGGTCCTGTTACTTTTGGGAAATGTAGGCATGCAACAAAAATATTCCATCCTCCTCCATAAAACTTGCAGAATAGGGAACCATGTGTACGTGTGCGCACACCTCGTCTCCTATTCTTCCTGATATCTGAAAGAATGTATGCAAACAATAGTAGACAATTAAAGGGCTGTTGGATAATTTTACTAGATTGGCTGACAAGGCATCATGCAAATAAACCCTATGAAACAGGCACAGCTAATACTCAAAAGATCAAGAAATTCCTTTCCTTGTCTATGATGCAGGGATTTTCCATTATTGTATCTTCTAATACCTTTTTTCTTTTTTTTTAAAAAGTTTCTGTTGTAGAGAACTTTGGAGAGCATTGCCAATTACAATTTTCTTTCTTTTATTTAATTTTTTTAAGTTTGTTACAACTAACTGGAATAGCAAATATCAGTTAGAACCTCTATCTCTTTAAAATTTTGTGCTTCACTTGGTCCATTTTAACATTTGTCTCATCAAAACTATCCTTGAACTGATTGCTGTCCTCTAGACAGGAAGAGGCTTGGATTTGTTCTTTTTGTACTAAGTAATTTTGGCAAACAAGCAGGTCAAAAGATTTTGCAGTGTTTACTATGGGGCTTTTCTGTAGTTTTTGTAATATGAAAGTGAGCAATGACAAATTCAATATTTCTCCTTAATGAGGAAGTGGTAGTTTTTAAGAACGAACTGACTTGACTGGTTTTCCTGCTCCATTCATCAATGTAACAGTAAGTAAGAGTAAATTACTATGAGAACTTGCTATTTAAGATTTTTTTGGTGCATTCAAAGAGTTCCTCTGCTGAACATGCACAAACCCTTCCAAGTACAGAAATTAGTTTTCATTCTGAAACCATGCTGCCAGAACCAAAATGGAGTACTTTAAGCAAAACAGTATTAATTCTGAGAAAGATCATCTGTATCACCAGACAGTGTGGGAAAAGATTAAGCTATTTAAATGTTTCTTAAACACTTAAACTATTTTAAAATATGGATTTTAACCTTGGAGATTGGAAATCCTGAAGAGCCTCATATCAGCTGTATTATCTTGTATTTAGTTGTAAGTAATTCTTAAATAGTGTATTGTCTGAGAATAGGCCAGAATACTACCGGTGATCCCACAAATTCTGTAGGATGCTCTTAGACTGAGAAAAACACATCCAGCTGGTTAAGATACGTGTATCGTATATCATCTACTTCTAGCTATTAGATGAAAGAGGCTTCCCAAAATAACGGGCTTAAATGCTCTTTAGGGGAAGAAAATAAACTATTCCAGGAAAAAAAAAATTTATAATATAAAGTACCATAAGAAAATAATGTCAAAGTCTGTCCAAAAGTGAATTTAATGTTTCAGACAGTTGACAGCTGGTACAGTTTCCTACAAGTAACTACATAAATGCAGATCTGCACATGCACGTACATACATATGGATGTGTGTTTCTAGTTTCACGGAGATAGATAAAGACGCCCTTAGATACTGTTCTTTCATGGTTATGAAAGATCTATTTTAACTCCCAGACATTTCACCAAAATTCATGGAATAGCAAAACTGCCTCAATTGTTAGGGACAGTAAATACTTCTACTTCCCTTTTCTCTGTATGAATTCTACTTGAGAACAGAAATTATGAACTGTTTATTTTAGTGAAGTGCTTGTAGAACTGTTAATATTAGCAAATTGGGGAATAAGTCTTAACTTCTTCCCTTTATGTACTATCTTAGCAGATGATTTCTGTTTTCATACCTTGGTATTTGCTGATAACTTATGTAGACTACCAGATGATGCCTTGAAATTCTTAGGTATATAGTTCATTTAGAAATATTTCTGTTGATGTTTTAATAGGCAAAGCGAGATATATTTTAATATGAATTGTTTTGACAGGCTTCTTATGTATTTGCATGTGTTCCTGTCCATTCAGAACAAAACATAGATTTTTTTTAAAAAAAATTATTGGCTTCAAATGCAGTTTAAGGACAAAGGACCTAGTAATATAGAAAATGTTTGCATTAGTCCAGAACATCGCTATAGCACAGACGAAGCGTCACAAATCTAAGTAACAACTTCCGTTTCTGAGAAGAAATGTTGGAATTCTTAATTCTTAATGTGTAATCTTTCCTGCCAGTGCTCATTAAGGGAAGAAGGTGATGATCGTCCTTATAAATTGATTTCCCCAAGTTAAAGAGCCCAGAGCTAGACCCTTATGACTGTCAATAGTAAAACTTTTCAGGTCAGTCCCTGGAGAATTAACTGAATTAATAGATGAAGGTTTTCTGTCACTTCATAGTCTTACTAACTTTAAAGATTGAGCCCGACATTGTCAGTAACTCTTGATACTGCTTTAATTCAAGTACGGTATTTTGTTACAGTAAATAGTTTTTAAAACAAACTTATTTCCTCATTGTTCAGACTCTGTTATTTAGAAAATAGTGATGTAAAAGTGCAAGTCACAACTGAGTCATAAGCTACCTTGAACTTTTTAATACACATTTGGGAAATCATTTTAGTGGAAGAGAAATGCAAATTGTTGAGGTCATGTAGAAAATAACAAATATACCACATCCTCTTTGTCTATTTTTTTTTTTAAATATGGAGATATTTTTTTTCATCTACATGTTTCATCTATGGCATTTTGCATCTTTGGGTTTTTTTGAGGACAACCAAATATATCTGAAACTAATTAAAAAGAGGATGAATAAACATCTGCTTATCGCTCAGATGGGTGCGAGACCACTGTAGGCAGTGGTCTCCTAATGTTTTTTGACTGAGCACCCCATCACATAACTAAAAAAAAAAAAACCCTAATATGTGTATATTTACCAATTATGTGTGTGCATTACCATGGTTCTAATACTTCCTTCACACACCCTGATGGATTGTCTTGTGCACGCACCCCACTTCAGGGTGGGGCACAGTAGCTGAGTACCATTCACATGCACTCCCAAAATGTGTTTATGTAACATCTGCCTCCTGCTGCTCAATCAAATGAGAACTGTGCTTATGAAAAGCAAAGGACAGAGAACTGCCTCAAAAGAGCAGAACCATTGAGATATTTAAATATCCTACTAAATAATCAACACATGGGGACCTGGGTTTTTTTAACGTAGGTATTCTGCAGCTTCCTTTTGGCGAAATAAAGCCTCGTTATTTTCTTACATCTTAGAAGGTGAAGAATTGTTTTCAATTTTGCTTTGAATTGTTTTCAGTTTTACTTCTCAGTACCTGGAGGTTATGGACATCCACTTCCATGCCTGTGTGGGGTTTTTTTGTTGTTGGTCATTGTGGGGTTTTTCACCCCTGAATGTCATGTGTTTGGGCAGGGCGGTATTAATGCATTGCCCACATGTTTGGACTAAGGCTGAATAGGCTTCTGAATCACTACTTGCCTTAAGTCTACAAGACTGCAAGAAGCTGAAGAATTTTTCCTCTTGACACATGCAGTCTAGTAAAAATGGCACATTGATATATTAATGCTTCTATTTGCATGCCTGGTTTTTTTTTTTTTAAAGTTGCTACAGAGCAGGAACTTGTGATCATACAGGACAAATCAAGAGCTGCTGTTCCAGGCTTCAGAACACTTAAAAATACCAGAGAGTACTCTCGGTAGTGCAACAGGCTTAAAGCTCAAAAAAAAAAAGGAGAACGGACAAGTAGAGAAGGCATACTTTTCAACATGAGCATCGAGACCTCTGCATCTCTTAAAGTCTAATTGAGAGCCCTTAATACAGTGAAAGTATTTAACAGAGCTTTCCACTTTATTGAATATGATACCTGACTTAAGCAGTCATCATCTGCCCACTTTATGAGGGGTAACTCTTTTGTGACAATTGCATTCCTTTATTTGACTGCTCTTGACATCAAGAACACTTAATTTCATTAGGGCAAGTGTAGTATAGGATTTTTTTCTCCAGAAAGTCTGTTAATAAATCAGTTTTTCTGCCATTTACAGTTCAGATGTAGCTTACTCATTTTTCTGCCCTTCTACATAAAACATTTCTCTACAAATTCAGAGAACCTTAATAGATTTATATTTTGGTACCTTTATTTTAAATTTAGTTTAAAAGGATACATAGCTGGAAAAGGATACATGAATGGTACTAAAGGCTGAGTTTCACTGTAAAGTATTTCCATAGAGATGTTTTAAAGAACACTCTGTTCAGAAGATTTCTTGGTAGGTTAAACTAGGGGTTTAAAGATAAGATTCCATTAAAAACTACTAAGGCTTACTATTAGGCTTATAATATACAATTGCACGTTAATTAGGAGACTGGTTTAAAATATAAATACCACTTGATCACTTATTATTATGAGAAGCCCTTTGTAGTGACTTAACATCTAACTCAGAATATGTACTACTTTGTAAGAAAGGCTTTGCCTGTTCGTGCCATCAGTTCTGAATCAGTGTGTCTTTTCTAATTAAGTATATCTTTGTTTTGTCTAAGTGTAGCCTCTAATCTCTGAAAATGTGAGGGGAAAAGTTTCTGAATGAGAACTGGATTTAGCCTTATGTAAGGTACTAATAGGTGTTTTGTAGGAATTTATTCTAGAGGTATTCTTGATTCTGTCTTCTGTGCTTTATTTTAAGATTCTTCTTCCATTATTCTCCTGAAGCTCAGTTCCCAGAATCTGGTTAGACAGTTAATTGCTAAAGGAGGACTTCCTGCCATGTGTTAAACAGGGATATAGCATCATTGGGATAGTTCAGATTGAGAGGGACCTCACAAGGTTATCAACTCCAATCTCTGTATCACTCATATTAGGCAGTTACTGATTTTTCTGGAAAGTCACTTAAACTGAGTTGCAAAACCAGGTAATGAACATATTATATTTTTAAATGGGGGTGGGGGGGGATTGCCACTGAAATACAGTGTTTTGAAAATCTTTGTTCAAAGAAACTTCATTACTTTACTTGAAAACAGTAGCTCAGGTTGTTGAAATGAAAGGATAGGAAGCCCTAATAGATGATCAGAGAACTTCTTAGATGTCATCCTTGGGAACTAGTTGAACCAAAGGTGTTCTGTTTTGTAGTGAAATTGTATTTGGAGCCACCACAATATTGGATTATGATCATTCTAATCTATAACCAGTAGATTTTGGAAACCATTGCTATTGGCCTCTTTTTAAAGCTATAAACCCACTTCTAATTACTCAAATATCATTATGACCATGAAACTGAAAGGAGACTGAGCTGTGAAGTTGGAAGAGATGTTTCTATTCTCTTCTTTTGCTGAAGATGTCTATTTATAAGAGTCTTCATCTATAACATCCATCCACCTTTTATTTTGGTGAGGCTGTATGTGTAACTTCCAGCTTCACTTTGCAAGGTTTTGTTCTGTTTTCCTTGTAGTCATAGTAGTAAAAATCTAGGGAATCTAATCTCCCTTCTCTTTCTTCCACCCCCAGTCATGGTCTAAGGAAATTCTTCTCCTGTCGAGGAATTGCAATAGCTGTTGACTACTTTTGGAAACGTGGGCACAGAAATATTACTGTATTTGTTCCACAGTGGAGAACAAGACGTGATCCTTACATTACAGGTAAGGGAAATAATTTCCTAATATTTTCTTAATTAAACTAAATTGTAACTATTTCTTTGGATACTTCTGTGAAGAATGAATGAATAAATGAAGAAGGAATGCTTCATAAAATGTTAAGCATGAGCAGTCTGGTTGCCCAGTATGAGTAATTGGATTTCAATATACAGTGTGAGACACTCTGAAATGCTGTTTATGCTAACTGTCGTAAGTAGAGGCCTTTTTGGTTTGTTTGGGTTTTGTTTGCTCTTTATAGTTTCAACTTTTTGCTCCCCGTTTTTATAATATTAGCAGTCCTTCAGCTATCAATGTAATTTCTGTAGATTAATAGGTACAAAAAATAGCCTATCTTCTCTGCTAATTATATCTCAGACTAATGGTCAAACCTATAAATAGCTTATAAGAAAGCTTTTGTTTTTAAGAACAGTTGTTTCATGTTTTAACAGAGCAGGATTTCTTAACACAGCTCCAGGATGTTGGAATATTGTCTTTAACCCCTGCAAGGATGGTTTTAGGAGCAAGAATTGCTGCTCATGACGACAGGTACAGAACATACATAGTTTTAAAGTATTTTTAAACATCTGACTAATGGCTGTAAAACCTTAATACTTCATAAGCGGTAGTATAACCTGTCTAAACAGAGCTATGCATCCAGCACCATGAGCTCTAAATCTGTTACGTTGCTTTACTGTCGTAAGAAACCTTTTCATATAGAATTCTCTAATATTATACATGCTGTTTTCAGAAATTCCTGGAAAATGGAAAATTTTCATGGCAATTTTCACAAAAGAAAAGTTAATGCACTTCAAATGTCATCACTTGCATTGAGGAAGAAATTAGTCTTATAGTAATGTTTTTATCCTTTCCTGATCATCAGTCTGTCCCTGAATTGCCTTTTATGTTTGGGGACTGCTAGCATAAGTCAGCTACTGATCAGGTACTATTTTTGTTCCTTTTTTTTTTTGATGCCATTGTGGCATACAGACATAATATGTATTTGTAACAATGTGTAGGCTAGTAAATTTCCACATTAATTTGAGCACCAAAGTTCAACTTCAAAATGTGGGGATCATTTTTCAGTGAACAAGACAACAATAAGCTTTAGGGGTTTTCTTCTTGGGTATTGGGGGGGTTTCCTAGTGCTTACATTGCTACTGCCAAATTTTCCTAGTCTTGAGACACACAGTTGAAAGCGCGCGCTGCCTAAGTTGTTTTTTTTCCACAACCAGCTTTCCTAATTCTGCATGAATGAGTAGTTTGTGGCTTTGAAATTGTGTTGTGCAGCTAGCTACAGTTTGCTGGATTTCAGTTTCTTTCTTCCTACTAATAATCTTTCATACTTTATTTTTCTGAGTACAAAATTGTCAGGTTTTTGCATCAGGGGCGTGCCTATTTTTGTTAGATTATGTATCTGATGGCAAAACATGACAGGCAAAAGATAAATTAAGTGCACTCTATATATATCTTCCTTGTTAAAATATAGCAACACTAATCTCTTAATAATGCTGCAATTTTCAGCAAATCAGACTATCTTAACCATCTTTGAAATTAATTTTACAGGTTTTTATTACACCTTGCTGATAAAACTGGAGGTGTTATTGTGACTAATGATAACTTCAGAGAATTTGTGACAGAATCACTTGCCTGGAGAGAAATTATTCAAAAAAGGTAATTACTCAATTTCTATGAAAACTTAAAAAGATGTCTGTCTTTACAGTTGTAGGCACTCTACTTTCATGTGACACTTTTTATTTTTAATTAATCTGTCATGCAATTCTGGTAGAGCCCAACAAAGTACTGGGTGCATTTCACCACTTTGATTCATGGCCTTATAATCATGTGTTGAGTAGTCTAATGTCCCTATTATTCATATATTCTCTAATGTCCATCTGTTAATTGCTCACATAAATTGTAGCAGCCAAGCTATATCACTTCTGAAGCTCAGTGTTAGATCCTGTTAGAGTATATGCTTTGTGGTCAATTCTCTTAGGCTTCCTTGTTTTACATTTCATTTCTTCAAGGCAATATGATAGCTGATGCAGACATACAGTGTCACTTTTAAGGTTTCAGAATCAATCACTCTTTACTGTAGTACAACAAATCAGCATAGCTAAAGAAAATAATGAACACTTGCAACATAACCTGGTAGCTGTTTCCCTGCAATTGCTGAGCGTCCTTTGTTTAGATGAGTTCATTTAGCTATCAAATGTCCCTGCTTCAGCTTGTGGATTCTCTGTGAATTATAGTTTCTCCGGTGCAACTGGTTGGGGTTTTTTGTGTGTGTGTGTGTGTGTGGTTTTTTTGTTGTTGTCTTTTATTTTCCCTTTTCCAGTTAAATAGGGTAATTTTACTATTAAGGTATGATCTTCTGTTGCCCAAACTGCCCATTAATCCCTCAGATTCTCTCTGACCTCTTTTGAGGGTACATCTACTGCAGTGACTGGGGTCTGTGTAGGTCTAATAAATAATTAAAAACTCTTTGGTTCTCACAATATAGCTGCGAGAACATGGAATTGATGTTGTCTAATTAAGTAGGTATTTATGCTATTTCTGGAGTGAATTCTACCTGTCAGGTTCTGTTCTCCTATAGAACTTTAGCAAGAATACTTAGCACATCATACTGAGTCTGTGGCTTTGTAAGAGCTTGTGTTAACATCTGCTATTAGTTTTACTTCTGGGGAAATTCCACGATACCAAATTGTCTCCTTGCAAATTTTAGGTGAACTGGTTTCCTTCAATGCAGATTTCCCTGTCCCAAAATGATTCCAGAAACAAGCTTCTTTGTCCTAACTGTAAACAGCTAATGCTATGTTTGCTAGTTGTGTGGCTTTCTGATAACATGCATTTTAGCTACGTGGTTGAAGATCCTTAAAAGGAAGGAGAGTTTGAACAACCAGAAAATCTTCTCTAATTACCTAGAAAATTCCACCCTAGTCTCTTTGCAAAAATTTGCAGTCATCCAATGCTTGCTGTTGGGGGCGGGGGGGAGGAGGGAATAAAAAAGCTCAGTGTGCTGCACTGCAATAGGAACAGTTCATATAAGCTCCCATTAAATTACTTTAACAGTGAATGTTGGTTGTATCTAAAATGGTTTACTAGTTAAGCTTCAGTGACTCCTGACGTGGTGTGAAATGTCTGCTCTAAGGCAAATTGTTCTGTGCCACAGAGGTGAAGGGCAGCAAGGGTGTAATACATTGTAAATAATATTGAAAGTACTCTCTTGCAGGTTGCTCCAGTACACTTTTGCTGGTGACATATTTATGGTTCCTGATGATCCTTTGGGAAGAAATGGACCCAGATTAGATGACTTCCTTCGAAGTGAAGGCTATTCTAGGTATAAGCACCGTTTTCACTTTTGTTTGAGACAGTTACGATTTCAAATGTGGGATAAACTGTTTCTTAGTTCACTTGAACACTTCAGATCTGTGTAGTAATGGTAGAGTAAAATTAAGCAAGAACACTAGGATGTAGTAGCTTAACAAAAACATGTTTTTCCTATTACTTCAGTCTGTTCAGAAACTGCTGATGACATTTGCATCTAATCAAGATCTTTCTCAGAACTAAGATAAGTAAGACAAAACTTCCTCTGAGACTTGATTGTGGTGGCTTCATACAAAGGTGGTCCAAACTATGTTAACATAGCACAAAACTGCCAGTGGTTTGGGTATGTGGTAGTCTGGTATCCTGTTAATTACAGTGATGTTATTTAAAACACCTTGGTTGATCACTTACTCATAGTGGGACAATAGGTGCTACAAAAGAAACACTCTACACTCATATTCTTTGTCACGGGAGAAGCATGTCACTTCACACTTGAGGGTACTGTACTGTTACTAAAATGATTTTTGAGAGCATTGTTATTAAATGCATTTGTATTAGATTCATACTTTTAATATTTATATTAATAAACCTATATTGTTCCCTTAAGATCATTGTACTTGTGCATATATTAAAAGTATGAATTTGCTTTGCATTAAGTACCAAGACTTGAGAATGGGTTTGTTCTTTTGCACAAGAAAATAAGGTGCTCTTTGCTCTTCTTTCACCAGCTTAGGAATTATAAATGCCAATAATAGTGAGTATTGAGAGACCTTTTAGAAACAAGTGAACTAAATAAAATTAGCAATACAAAAGGCAAGCTATACTTAATCCTTAATACAAAGAATAAGCAGGAATCTGAGCTATTAGAAATTATTGTTGAAAGTAAGGCATGTATATACCAGTAGATCACAGGTCGATTTGAAAATAAGCATGTAATGTCAACACAAAAAAAGCAAGTGCAGTTCTGGAACTCAGTAAGAAATGCTGAGAAAGTATTCAAGCTCTAATATAAATGCTTATGAGATGTTATCTGGAACACTGTATTTTAGCTGCCTGTGTCCAGGAAAAAGAAAGTGAAAACAGAGTGTGTTCTGAGAGTTGACTCTGATGATTGTAGAAAGAGAGACTCTTTTGAGAAGACTCTAGAAGAGCTTGGCTTCCTATCTGTGAACTTGGAACTAGGCTTTGATTATTTTTTTTTGTAGGTGTGTGATGGGCCTTTTTAAGACAGAGGAAAGCGTGCCAGTGTGTAAAGAGTTAATTTTGTTTCTTTCCTGAGACTTTTCCACTTGAGTTAAATGATGTAGAAAGCATAAATGGCACCAGAAATAAGATCAGAAACTAGAAGGATATCGAGCAATTAGAGAGTCTTTCCATGTTGAGTGGTGGGAGGTGTTGTAACCTAAATGCTTTTAAAATAGAGCTCTGTAATTTAGGTAGTTTCCCTCAGTGGTAGGAGAATGGACTGTAACATGAGTTCCAGTTGACATTTCTGTGTTATCTAGTGGCATCTGAAGTAGACTTGGCCCTAAATTTTGTAGTGCTAGCAGTTTAGAGTAGCAACAACTTTTCAAATTCTGAAATGAAATCTCAATAATTAAGAATATTCAGATCCTGAAATTGCTAAAAACCTTAATTCCCCATTAAGGATATCATATGAGGGAATCAAGGCCATCATCTAAATGTAAGCATAGCTCAATCATGAGCAAAAGTAGATGAGGAAGTCTTGTGGAGCATCTGGAAGCCACTTTGGTCTGTCAGTATTTTTCACGTGTTCTGGGTCAGTGTACATATGATCAATGTATCTTGTTATCCATTTAGCTTAATAATGCTGATATGGATACTTCCATAAAATAAGCTTTGACTGTTTCTGTATTCTGCCAAATAAAGTACTTAATGCTTATTGGAACCAATGCTAGGTAATGGTAGTTAATGTTGTTAGTCATGCCAGATTCAAACTGAAAACTGTTACACCTACTGTTTTGTTTCACTTTTGAAAAAGTGCGTATCATTTGATTCCAATCAGTAACTGAGCTGTAGTGAAGTATGGGAGTTTCTTTTCTGTGTTTGTACAGAGACAGCTAGCATCTCCTTTACCTTAATTTAATAAAATTTTTATTTTGTTCCATAGAGATTTTCGATCTGCACAAAAGGCTTTACAGAGCAGTGGACAATATTCTTCAGAGACACCTTTCTTCGTGCCAGTCTCCAAACCAACCAGTAGCAGTCAACAGCCTAAAAACAGAGTACATAGTGGTCGTTCATCAACATGGCTTCCACTGGAAACAGACTTAGAGGCTTGTCTAGCAATTCCGCCACAGAGATCTGCCTCAGAAACAATACAGCTTAGAGAAGCCCTGATAAAAATTTTTCCTGATTATGAGCAAAGACAAAAGATTGATCAAATACTAGCTGATCATCCATTCATGAGAGACCTTAATGCACTGTCTGCCATGGTGCTTGACTGAATATTATACAGGGTTTTTATATCAATCTGACTAACTTTGAATATCAATGTGAAGAAAAATGTTGCTCTGTTATGTTACATTGTGAATATTCAGAACTTAATTTTATTTGTATAAACAAAGATATTTTTTGTGTATGTTCTGTTTCTAATAGATGCCAGTTTTTGGTAAATTAAAAACTGCTGCTACTACAGATTTGTAGTAATATTTTCTATGAAAAAACAAATCTTCTGCTTCACTTGAATTACTTATTAAAGCAGTAGCAGTTCTAAAGAACTGTTATCACTTTAAATAATGTTAGCACTTTTTAAAAACCCTTTTCCTCAAAAAGGAAAAATCATGTCAGAGGCTTAAAAGTGACACTTACAGCTTCACATATATTTTCCAGATGTTTGCATAACATACTATAACATAAGCCATGCTGCACCTGTCAGATATCATTGTTGGTGTTTGTATCCAGAGTATAGATATTCTTAGAAAATCTATGCTCTACTAGTACGTCCTTCTTATGAATTTTGAAATATTTCTCCATGGAAATAAAACAGACCCTTTAAATATTCTCAGATACAAAGACTTCTATGTAGTGTATATGTGAACCTGCTTTCCTTAAGTTGGCATTGTGGATTTTGGAAATAGGCTGTACTCCTGAGGGTCTATGGACAGCAGTTCGAAGATCTCTGACATCAGTGGATGTTCAGTGTATTGTTGAAGTACTGTCACAAGGTGGCGTTATGCATCTGTTGGTCTGTAATGATCAACAGGAAGGCTTCTGACATGTTCTGAAGTGCTGGTTCTCACATAAAGATTCAGTGCAAGACAGGTAACAGTAATTGTGTGTTGTGGATCAAATTGTATATTGTATGAATAACTTATGGATACTAAGCCGCCTTCTGATATTATGGGCAGCTAAGAAGCTTTGTATATGTGGGTAAAATCTTAGTGCCCATGGAATGAGAACAAACCAGAAAAATCTATTTGCCTGTTCATCCAGGTTGAGAGATACTATGCGGGAGTAATTGGGAGAGGGAAGGTTTTGGTTAGAAAGTGTAAATTCACAACTCTTCAAGAGAAGATATTTGTAATGCTTTAAAAGATCTGTGGTACCTACATTATTTTTTGTTGGAAATTCTTTTGACCATCAATAGTCCTTCAGAATAATTTTAGTATCTTTAACAATCTGTGCTATTACCTGTTTGTCTTTGCCCTGCCTGTTCTAAGTCTGAATGCTGTGATAAGTTATTAACAGAGTGTGATGCTGTTTATGTATGAAAGCTGATGAACAGGACTGCTTTCAAGAGCTGGAGCAAAATGAAGATTACTGTGTGTCTGTGTCTCTGTGCATGCTTAAGTCTGTTATACCTTCCTTTTAACTGGTTTCTGGTGCTATGTGTTCGCATTAGTAAAATCAAATTAGACTGTAAAGAAAATGTGGGCTACACAGCCCATGTTAAACTTCCGACCTACTGAGCCTTACCCTAAAGCCTAAGAATAGTGGCTTTCTCTCCAGCAGGAGTTCCCTGGGTTCTGAAATCACTCTTTGCTTAAATGTAAAAAAGCTGAAATATACTGAAGAAATGAGGGTGTTGAAAGTCAGTTAGTTTACGTGGCCCTTTTACATGTATTGTGAAGTCAGAAACAGAAGGCAAAGTCTTGCTCTTCCCTTAACAGGAACAAACTGAAAGATGATTGCAGCAAGAGCAAAAGTATTAAGAACAGTTATTGCAGCATCTCAAAAACATAAGTGAGGATGAGGAAAGGTTTTGAATATGTTTCTACATCCAAATAGACAAACCTTATTTTTTCCCCCTACTTAAATGAGTGGGTAATTCATTAGTCAGGTGGGCTGAGTTATTCTGACCAGCACGTTTGCCAAGAAGCAGTGCTTGCCTGCTATGTGATCACCAAGTTCTGTCCCCATAAGAACTTAAAAGGTTCCTAAAGCCTGTTGTCACTGATTGGACTTGTTGTTTTAGTAAGTAGTAAGGGAATAAATTATGACCAGTGAAGGGCTTTTTTTCAACAGGGATAAGATCCTAAGGAAGGGGGTGGTGATGAATTGGGTAATTCTGCTTAGTTCTACATTGGAGTGAAACACAGGAACTTTGGGTCAGCTGCTTAATTCCTAATAAGCTCTTCTAGAGGCAATCAGGAGTATCAAGGAAATGGGCCAAGAGCAACATAAACTATTCCCCATGTACTTTGCATATTAGTATACTCAAAGCTGAGATTGACTCTGCAGTACATTGGCACAGATAAGGAAATGCGTTTTTGTTTTTGTTTGTTTGTCAGAAGAAGATAAAAATTGGAGTATGATACTGCAGGGGCAGCAAGATAAATACTATGTTCATTACTATCTAGTGTGGGAGACATGGTGAAGTATGTAAACTTCACTAGCTAACAATGGGTTACGGAACTATATTAATGCTAGTAAATGTTGATGTGCTGTTCGCTTCTGTGCTAAACATCCACCTCAAAAGGAACTGGAGCGGAATGTAGCATCAAGTGTTCAGCAGAGTAGTAGCTGATTACTTTTTCATGACACAAGAAGCCTAGCTGGGAATACTAGCTACCTAAAACCTGTAATCTTACCACTTTTTGCCAGATAGAGGGCAGACTTGATGAATTAATTTTGATGGCAGAAGCTTGTTGCTGGATGTTAAAGCAAGCTGTCACAGCAAAAGCTCATGTAAAATTATACCAAGTGAGGCTAAAGATTCTGTGTTTTCTTCTTTTTTTAGGTTCTATTGTCCCTTCAGCTTTGAGTTTTAAATATTGCATCTCTGTTAACAGGGAAGATGACAAACATAACCAGTGTGGTCTGAATTTTCCTTGAGGGAAATGGGTGGAATTGCTGCAATGCTATGCCATATGGTGGAGGAATACCCACGGTGGCATCTCAACTGCATTTAGAACAAAACCATCAGTCTTTCAGTTTTGTTTTCATTTGTTCTTAGTTCCCTATTAGCCTACTTATTTTAAGTATGGCTGTTCATAAAATCCATAAACAGCCTCTTTCAGTGCACAACAGAGTAAGCACTGCATGAAACACAGCAGCCTGCAAAGCTTTCTTGGGCCCAACAGAACAAGTTTTTTGTTTGGATTTGTTTTTAATGGCAAAGACAATACGTTTTTTTATGCAAGAAAGTCAGTCTGTGATTCTCCTTTATCACCTGTACAAAGTGCTGAGAGTGGAATGAGCAGAGGAAGGATCAAGTCTGAGTTCAAATGTAACCAGAATGTTCCTGATCCCTAGAATAAACTTTCTGTGAGATGGTATGTATCACTAATACAGCTTTCAATTTATTGGTATTTCCACTGAAGTGGGAAGATAAAGGAATATTTCTTTGATCTTGCTCGGAACTTCCCTGTTTTGTAGATAGGATACTCACAATTCCAGGTAGATACAACCACTCTTACCTGAACGGAACAGTCCTGAGTTTACCCATGATAGTAAAAAAGTGCCAAGACCCAGCAATAAGCAACAAAAACCTGAAATCCTGGATATATGTATAATCTAGCTCCATACTAAAACAATAAAATACCATAATCACCTGAGTGCATTCAAGTAGTTGTCTGTGTGATAACTAGTGTGTAACTGTGGTCTAGTTCTGTTGTGATCCTTGTGTAGCAAACAGTGCAGTGGATTTGTCAGTTTGGGGACCAGCAGGATACAGCTCTAAGAAATTATCTTAGAGCTCTCTGCTCTGCTTCCTGCATTGCTCCCAATCCTAGGTAGCTCACACTTCAGATAGATTATTGGGTGCTGTGCTGGTAAGAGAAGCTGGACCTGAGCTAATGCTGTGAAGCATCTTCGTACTGTGTTTCCCAGTATGTCTCATAATGTGGTATTTGGGCTCTTTTTCTTACCAGTGTTAATTGCCTGGTGTTCCAGGCACCTTTCCCGTCATCTTGGAAGACAGAGCTGACTGAACCTGCACCTTTCCTGTCATCTTGGAAGACAGAGTTGACTGAACCTAAGAGAAAAAGCACATCAGTTTAAAAACGGGAAATACACTGTTGCATTTATTGCAAAATACTATTTCCTAATGCTAACTTGTATGAAGAAAGAAAAATATGAAAAATTGTCAAAATACTGTGATATGTGGGAAAGTCATTCTTCACTGAAAAAAAGGTAAGATTAAAACCTTAGTATGAGTAGGTAAAAATGTCTGGGAAGAGACTGTTACAGAACTGAACAAGTTTTTCCACACAGGAGCATTACAAAGGTTCATTCACAAGTTTTCTGAGGACAAGAGAGTGTCTATTGGCAGCAGGTAACCCGCTGGGTATACAGCAAGTGCCTACATGTTCTTTTTACCTATGAAAAAATACTGATTAATGATAAGTTAACAACATAATTGCAAATTGCCTTTTGTTTAACACAGAATGAGCATGCAGAAGGTCAGCTTGTAGCACGAATATTACTACATAATTCCCATTATTTTTATAGACAGATCTGAGACAATGCCTAGATTTTAATGGGTGGAAAACATGGAAGAAAAGGGCTTTGACATGAGGAACTACAGAATTGCCAAGGAGAGTATTTGATGAGTATCCTTCTTAATATCAACCAAAATGTTCCACACAGATGGCCAGCATAAACATTCCCATTTTTCAAACACAGATATTGAGGCACAAGAAAGAACCAACTTGCCTAAAACTGCTCAGTATGGTGGATGGAAGTGGTGACCAAGCTCCCAAACCTCAGCACAGCAACGAGCTCCTTAGTAAATCCCTCCTTACCCCACTACAACATCTATCCTGCCCAGGCAAAATGTACAGGGCTGAAGTGAAGATTTTTCTCAACTGGCTTCAACATCATCCACCCTGCAACTAGCACCACAACAGCCCTGCCGCTGTGAAAAATGAGGCCTCTGAGGGCATCCATCTTGTTTCACCTCAGGTGAGCTGCGGCAGGGAGGGAGGGAAAAGGGGCGTGAGGAAACTGGGAGGGAGGCTGGTGACTGACACAGTGCTTAAGGGAAGGCTTTGTGAACCTGTATGGCAGTGTGGGCAGCAGCTCTGCTGGTTTTCTGTGCCTTGGCCCAGTTTTGCAGCTGAAGCAAGTAGGTTGAGAGTGAACAAATGCAAGACACTGAGGGGAGACAGGCTGGTGGGAAAGCGGCAGGGGATGGGGGAGCACGAGCCAAGCCCCTGCTTAGTGGCAGACCGTGTGGTAACAGCAAAGCCCTC